AAATACATGGCATGAAAAAAACAAAATAGGAATGGGGGGCAGTGACTGGTAGAGATTAAAAAAGATTTAAGAGGAGACATAACAAATGTAGTGTGTAAACCTTGTATAAGTCTTGACGCAATTCTACAAATCTTAATTCAAGGCAATGAATAATTTTTTTTTGAGACAATTGTACAAGTCTTGACGCAATTCTACAAATCTTAATTCAAGGCAATGAAAAAAATTTTTGAGACAATTATGGAAGTCTTAATATAGGTTGGGTATTAAATATTACCAAAGCATTAAATTTTTAAGTGTAGTTGTATCAGTATTGCTTATATATTTTAAAAAATTTTCGCACTGAACTACACCCACAGCCCATCTTTCTTTCATTCTTACCCCCCCCCCCCTTTTTTTTTTCTTGTTTTAGAGATAGGGTCTAAGTTGCCCAGGGTGATCTCTAATTTGCAGTCTTCCTGCCTGTACCTCCCAATTGGATAGAAATATGGATCTCTGCCACTGCACATTCCTAAATTTCTAAAGTGTTCTTATCAGCTAGAGATGCAGCCTCATTTACTGGCCATATCACATGCTATCTTTAATTTTCTTTTAAATACTGAGCAAAAATCATGTATGGTGACATATGCCCGTAATCCCAGCAGTTCAGAAGGCTGTGTCAGGAGAGTTGCAGGTTTGAGGCCAGCTTGAGTAACTAAGCAAGACACTGTCACAAAATAAAATAAAAAGGACTGAGGATGTAGCTCAGTAGTAAAGTGGCTCTGGGTTCAATCCCGACAGTTCAAAACCAACCAACCAACCAACCCAGTGTGAGTAAGTAGAAGTAAGATTAGCAAACTTGCTTACTAGTTGAAGCTGTGTGATGGGTACATGGAGGTTATGTTTCTATGAAAAAGGAAAAAGCTTGGGAGACACATCAAAACTCACTTGAGCTGTTCTAGCACTTTCTTCATCACAGCACAATTTTATTCTTAGCCTTGAGTTCTGGTACTAGAAGGACTTTTTGTTGTTGTTGTTGTTGTTTTTGCATTCCATTGAGTTTTCTGAGGATTCCTACAATCCATTCACACTTTCACACCCATGACTGCTTCAAACACAAGAACCAAGAAGTTATTTTATGAAAGAACCCAAGAAGCATAAATGATATTCTCTGCCAAACTAGCAGTCTTTGAATTCTCATTCCCTGGGTAAGGTAGGTTTAGGAGGGTGGATCTGAGGTATTGTTTATCCATTTCCAGTAGAAATGTAGGATATGGCTTATTTACCTTCCCTCATGTCTTTTTTCTTTTTTGGGGGGAGAGGTCAGGGATTAAACCCAGGAGTGCTTAACCACTGAGTGATAACCCAGACCTTTCTATTTTTTTTTGAAACAGGATTTTTGCTAAGTTGCTGAGGCTGGCTTTGAACTTGCAATCCTCCTGCCTCAGCCTTCTGAGCTGCTGGAATTACAGGCATGCCACTGCACCCAGCAACTGTGTACTGACAGATTTTCAATGACTTCTGGGTAATGTGAAAGCTGACTGTGAATACCTTACAATAAAAAAAGGCAGAATTGAAAAAGCAACCACTTTGCAAAGAAATTTTAATTTCAATATTTTAATATACATAAACCTCAAAATGGATATTCATATGCTTTATGACACCTGCAATATACTTATGGATGTATTTGTTAAGTTCTAACCTCAATTTTAGGAGTTGTCCTCATCGACAATGCAGTTAAGACATAGTTTGCTGGCATTCTAACTGCTAAGCTCATACTCCAGGCAAATACTAGAACTTTTTATTCATAATTTGACACCCAATTTTTGCTAATTAGCATATTAAAGGTCAGGCCCATGTATTGGGGAAATGGCTTATAGACTAACATAATATTAGAAATTTGTTCTTTCTAGTGATATTGAAGATAGAACCCATCCAGGCCTAGAACTGCCCACTTTCTTAAAGATGGCACAGCACCTGGGTCTCAATCACTGTTTACAGCCCTTTCACTAAAGTTGGTTACTTGATAGTGATCATAAAAGGGAATCAAATGGGATATTGCCTTGTCTGCCTTGAGTAAACCTTTCTCAGGAGGCTGGTTCAAGAATCTAAAAGGATAGAAAACTAAAACTGCATTGAGTATACTTTTGTGCTTGTTTGTTTAGTAAATGTCTGAATGTGAGGCAGATTGTGGCCTAAGACATGTTTTATGGTAATCTGGCAATGAGGATGTAAGGGAATTGCTACCCCAAATCCATTTCAACTTTCGAAGCTGCTATCTATGTAACCAAAAAGAACCCAAGTTGAGGCTGAAAAAATAGATTGGGTCAGTTCATAACAATCATATGATACACATTTAAATTTTTAAATTTTATTTAAACACTTCACATTAAGTGAAATTTAATCATAACCATTACAGAGCATTACCACAATATTCACAAAGAATTTTTAAAATAAAAGACAAAAGAATACAATCTTCAACAAGTTAAATGCCACTTTACTATGTAAACCAAAATAAAATAAAACCCTGATGCTAAAAAGGTACATATTCAGAGGTAAAACAGATACAAAAACATTTAAACATTGACATTATCCACATTCTTTGCAAGAGAGTACAAATATTAGTACCCTACATCTACAAAATTTCAGAATCCTGTTAAAATCAAAACCATCTCTGGTTTATGATACAGCACAATTCATAAGGCAAAAATATAGGCATTATCATCCAGTTCTTTAATTTCACTTGTATTTTAAGGCAAACTTGGAACTTTTTGCTTAGTATTTTAAAATGAATGAAACTTTACACATGATAACTTGACAAAATTAACAATAAATTATCTCTAGTTAAATATGTATAATATAAAAGACATATGGATAACAATTTTTCTCTCTGCAGAGATGTAAACTGGATTTTTATTTGACTCCATATTCACACTAGTAAGAAAATTTGTAAACCTATAATATTTAAAATGTACTTATTGTATTCCTGTCTCATCAATTGTGTCTCAACATTGAAACAATATACTGTAAGCAAAAAGTCAATATATATCCAGCCACAGAATCGTTATCTAATTAAATCATGTCTAATTAAAGTGCTGTTTACAAAAGGAAGAAAGGTTAAAGAGTAGAACTGGATGTTAACTTGACATGAGACATTTATAATTTCTTAACTTTCGACTACAGAGGTTATAGAGGTTATCACAAGTTTATTGAACTTTAAGCAGTAAATTTACTGTAGAATCTGATTTTCCTGAAAATGAGCACTTAGGTGACAATACTAGGAATCCAACACCAAAACTGAAAATTAACACAGCATGATATGCACATATATTTTCCTCAGTGTTAGCCAGAGCTTTGATATTCTAGGAAATAGTTTGGGTTTTTTTTCCCCCCTTTAGTTTTGTTTTTCTTCTAGGAAATAATTATCCAATTTCAGGAAATGTAGAGTTCTATAAGTCAAGTTTTTCATAATTCTTTTTCATGACATTAAAACCTAATCAGACTCTAAATAATTGTTTATAAGTAATCTAGGTGTTTAGGAAATTATGAAGTTGGAGACAAGGAATTAAATTTATATTTTACCATACAGTTATTGGGATACAGGACTCCTACACTGCATTTTACTCTTTTAAGTGAAAAGCCACCACAGAATCTAACACAATATCTCCTTCATAAAAGTAGACCCTCCATATCTGTCAAACCATCAAAATAAACTTTCAAAACGTAATGTCATTTTCCTATCACTTACTTTTTCCTATCACTTGCTGTTACTTCCTATAATATTCATCCATATTTAAAACAGTATTAGCAATAACAAATGGAGCTTGTAAGTAAAACTTTAGATTACATTAAAAATTAGTTAAATTAGCCAGGCACAGTGGCACATGCCTGTAATCCCAGCGGCTTGGGAGGCTAAGGCAGGAGTATCCCGAGTTCAAAGCCAGCCTCAGAAAATGTGAGGCACTAAGCAACTCAGTGAGACCCTGTCTCTAAATAAAAAAATAAAAAATATAAAAATAGCTAGGGATGTGACTCAGTGGTCGAGTGCCCCTGAGTTCAACCCTTGGTACCAAAAAAAAAAAAAAAAAGTCAACTCTTTTCCTACATCCAACAAATATTAAATTGCCAAACATTCCTAACAGATTAAATCTTTATGTAATGTAATTATAAAAGGCAATTATTTTGCACTCGATTATATTAATTTCTATTCCCCTCTGCATTCTTTTCCAAAATATTTCTGGGCAATTCTAAATTGCTTTAGCTTGCCTGAAGATATATAATCATTTCTAATACCATTAAACCTGGGGATTTATAACCAAACATTTTGATCCTTTTTAACAAGAAACATGTGGCTTTAAATTCACAATTTTTCAGCAAAGTATTCATAATGAAACTTCTCACAAATCTCTAAGAGAAAGCTCTATTGTAAACTTACCAGTTGTCAAGTCATATTAGTAGTTCTGGATGTTATGAACAGTACAAAAGGAACCTTAAAATAAATATATTTCTAAATTTGAATATTTTTTTCTTCACAGGTTTTCATAATTTGTTCACTGGTACATGGCTTCTACTATTGCCCAAGATGTTTCACATTTAGTCTTCACCAGATGATATTTAGATTTTTCAAAAATAATTATCAGTATATGCTTTTGATCTAATTTACCAAATAATTATATGTTTTATACTAACTTGATAGTGGAAACAATACATGAGTTAAACATTGTTAAAAATAAAGCAGTATGGATGTATTCACAATTAAAATAATTTTCTATAGTCTTTCAAATTCCCTTATCTTCTGGGAGAAGGAAATCAAAAACAGTATAATAAGATGTATTTAATAATATGATTCATACAAACAAAGACAACTGACTTAGGGGGTTAACAGTAAGGATGTAGAGGGCTAGGAATATAGTTCACTTGGTGTAGTGCTTGCCTCACATGCACAAGGCCCTGGGTTCAAACCCTGGCAACCCACACCCCCCCCAAAAAAAGAAAAGAAAAAACAACAACAGAAAACCAGTAAGTATGTAATGGAATCTATTTTAAATTGCTTTTCTTTATATAAAGTTTAGGCCAACCACAGTAGTGCACCTTATTACTATTCAACAGATTTATTCAAAGCAATGAAAAAGTTATTGCTATGTATCATTGTTATTCAAACAAGCAACATACAAAATACTCATTTGATTTTATTAGTAGCTCCTGTTGAGTTCTAAGTTAGAAGAGACTAAAAATCACTTGCAAGATTTTATAATCTGTGCAAATATTCCTAAAGCATGATACTACTTTTTTGATTAAAGATGATTTTACATAGTTTTGTAGTATATAGTCAACTCTACAACAGGTAGTTTATGGAAGAACAAGGAAAACTGCAAATTACCTGGTTATAGTTTTTAAGAAATAACATATATGCTAACAACTGAACCTATGTTTTATAATTACAAATGGCTTCTTAACAATAGTTTTAGAATATCATGGCACTTAAGAATGCTGTGTGAATTATTAGGAAAAATGTACAGTGGTCTTGCAGAGACTTTATAAAGAGATAGTGGGCAAGAAAAAAATTAAGAAAATAAAAACAAAATGACTACAGTACCCAAACACAAGTACCAACATCATAAAAAACTGCAAGTTAATGTGTTTAAGACTTACAGACATTTACTAAAACATGCTTGAAAATAAAATAAGTTAACCATATTTTTTAAATAAGTGTTTACTGGCTAATGCAAACAATTTTGTTTTAAAAGATCATTTCCTTAATCAAAGCAGAACTAAATTAGAACCATTAGTCAAGTAAACATTGAGTTCCAGTTTTCCTCAATAACTTTAAAATATTCAGTTACCTAAGAAATGTACAAAGTAATGCATAACTGCCTAGGGCTTATATTTAATGCATATATTTCTGTTTTTCAGAAGGATGTAATCCAGCAGAAGAACAAAGAAGACCAAAAGTGTATCTTTCTTTAAATCACTATTCAGTAACCATGAAAAACCTAACAGGCCATTTAGATGATTTTTGGATGTTAACATTAGTGTACTCACTAACATTTTTAATAAGCACAAACAAATTAAGCCTGTAAAATGAAAAACACTATCAAATTATGCCATGCATGTCACACCAAACATCCAAAAGAACATCTATTATAGCCTTGTTATATAGATCCTACAGTTAGCACCATTTTTATATCTGAACACTTGGAAAATGCAAACAAAGATCTTAAAAAAAAAAAAAAACTAAAATTATTATAAGTTTACATGAAAAAAATCAATAAGCACTAAGGTTGGTCCTAAACACTTTCAAATATTTACATCAACACTGGGAAGCCTGTTGTACTACTGAAGAAAAACTAAAACAACTGGTATGATCAGCTCATTCTATCCATGCTTATCATAGCATAGACAAGTAACTAAATTCATCCAGCATTAACCTGCACATATACAAAAGGCATAAACAGTAAGTATCTGGCTTCTTAAAACAGGGCCCCAAATAGGACAATAAAACCAATTGTCTTGCAAATATATTACACCACTAGCCCTAAAACCAATTTAGCAGGAAGAATATTCAGATGACTCACTATGACATGTTATTTACAACCTTTAAAAGTACCAAAAGTAAAAGCAGCCCTTTGTTTTAAAAATGTGAAGCATATGAATTTACATACAACAAGCAGTATAAACAATCTGTCCAATCATTCAATACACTTCAGAATCTAAAGCCTCTCTCATCCTAGTAAATCATGATACATATCAAGGAAAGAGAGCTAAAAATAAAAAAAAATTAAAAAGCAGCAAGGTTTTCTCCATTTAGGAACATAAAACAAGTCTATCTCAGTCTTGGGAAAGAAGTGCACAATTCAATTGGCAAGGTCTTTCCTTTTTCTTCTTCTTCTTCTTTGATTATTGATTTACTGTGTAACCAAGAGCAACCAAAACTACTTGTCAATTCAAAGTACCCAACAAAACTTTGAGTCTTCATGCCACTTCAAGTTAAAATAAAAGCAATGTAGCTTTTAGTTTTCAGAAAACTGGACATCCTTTTGTGTGGCACAAGTTTCACTACCACATGATTTCCAGGAGTTCATTCTTATCAAAGTGCAGTTAATCCAAAATTGCATCGACAGTATATCATGCCTGCTGAATCCAGCCACGTATCTGAGATAGGGTCATATTTCTGCACTGTGTTCAGATAGGAAGACCCTGAGTGACCCCCAACTACATAAAGGTAGTTATCAATTACTGCAGCACCAACTCCTAGGAAAGGTAGATAAAAAGAAGATATGTTAGCTATGAAGTCTATTTTTTCTAAAAACCAATGTGTACTTTAATGTTTTCTTAAAATATATTTCAACAATCTAACAAGCAACATAGAAATATACTTAATAGAAAAACACATCCTTAACATAAGAGTCAAATTATTCTTTTACCTCTGCTCTCCAATCCTACTCTCCACACCCCTGCCCCCAACAGCAAAGTACTATTTAAATTTTGATTTTTAATGAATTGTACACATTCACAGGGTTCAATGTGACACTTTAATATACGTACATAATGTTTCATGATCAGATCAGGGTAAACTGTGGCAGAAAAGTATTATTAAGGCATTTCTATATGCTTTAAAATCCATTTATATTTATATATTTTCTAGCAATCATGCATTTCATCAGGTTTTCAAATATACTGAACTATATAATTTATGCTTTTAAAAATTATCCTTTATATATTATTATATATATTTGAAAAAAAGAACAAGTCTACACAAAATTTTAAATTATTGTTTGTAAGGCTTTCCCTACCAAGAATGCTGAAAAAAACTGATTACAAACAAACTCTGAAATGGTTAACTCCATTTTGTTCTGTTAATTTCCTTTTGATATTTACGTTTTAAAACCTGCCCCTTTAAATAATGTCATTTGAGTTTGGGTTAAAAAATAACAATTTTCCTTATTTTCAAATGATGTATTTGCTTTTTCTTTAGGAACCCTGAAATCCAACCCCTTTTCTTATAACTGTGTCCCTTGGGAAGGACAGAACATTAAAAAGTAAATGTATGAATCATTGATGTACAAAACAAAATAGAACAATACAAGGAGTGTGTGTGTGTGTGTGTGTGTGTGTGTGTGTGTGTGAGTGAGAGAGACAGAGAGAGAGAAGGAAGGAGGGAGGGAGGGAGGGAGGGAGGTTGGGATTATAAAACATACAAATCGATGAGATCTATTATACGAACAAAAAAAAAAAAGCTTCTAGAAAGATATATTCTATTATCAGCATTTCCCAAAATGTGTTCTTTCAAGTTTGAGAAAATGATAATATACCCACAGGTATATTAAAAGCACAGTTAAGAAATCTATGTTGTTTTGCCTAGCTAGTTGTTTTTCAAGTTTATAACAAAAAAAGTTTTTCTGGAAAAGTAATACCCTTGTTCTTCTATGGAACTACTATTCCAAGAGCATCACTGTAGAAAGCACAGTCCTATATTTTTATAAATTTATAAATTATTATTACCTGTTCTAGGTTCTTTCATTGGTCTACACACAGTCCACTGATTTTGATGGGGGTCATATCTTTCAATGCTTGACAAATGTGAGACACCATTATGTCCACCCACCACAAAAATAAAGCCTAGCATGACACCCACGCCAAAGTGAATCCTTTTATCAGCCATGGATGCAACCATCTCCCAGGAGTCTTTACTTGGATCATATCGTTCCACACTGCAAAAATTCACATGACAAAAGAATTAATTTACAGATCCTTTGTGTCACATTTTCTGCCAAAGCAAAACTAAAACCTGCCATGGTTTTCAAAGTTCAATAAAGAAACAGATACAAACCAAGAGTAGTCTATCCCAAATATTTAGATTTTTGCCAATAAGTTTACAGAATTAAAAGTTTACCTTGTGAATAGGGTTCAACAATAACTGTTTGCTATTCCATTATACAATCATTCTTTAGTATTCATAAGGAATTGGTCCCAGAACCCAAGTGGATACTCAATCCCTTATGTAAATAGTGTAGCATTTACACCTAACCTTCCATATACTTTATCTCTAGAATACTTACATCTAATTTAATGTAATGCTATGTAAACGGTTGTTGTATTATTTAGGGAATAAGAAAAAAAATCTGTACATGTTCAGTATAGATGCAATATTTTTTCAAATATTTCTCATCCATAGTTGGTTAAACCCACAGATGCTGAATCTGCAGATACAGAGGGCCAACAGTACTGTTTCAGCAACAGGTATATTAAAGGCACAGAACTTAGACAGAAGACCTGGGTTTAAGTACAAATGCTGCATTTTTAGAGCTGGACTAGCCCTACCACTGTGGCTCTGTGTAAACCTGAATACACCATTTCATTTCACCTGAAAAAACAGCACAACTCAAAGGGTTCATATAATAAAATCAAACAAGAATGCATTAGAAAATTACAAATATTTTTAAGAAAACTAAGGATACACAGATAAGGAAAAGAGAAGAGAAGGAAGGAAGAGCAGTGTTTTTTCTCACAGGATAATTCATGTGATTTCAGTACAGAGCACACTACAGATTCCATAGCACAAACTGGTTAATCATAATAATTTCTGATTGATTTAGGAGAATTTAGGATTAAAGTTAGGTATGCATCCAGAGAACCTGTGGTAGTTCCAAGTTTGTTATGGAGACCCATATCAAATCAGAATTTTCAAAAAAGCTTCTTCAGACCATTTCAGAATATTTTTAAGCCTGTTGTTTGCCCTGAAGGGGCACAAAGGCACAAAGGTAAACTTATTGAGCTTGTTCTGATCTCACTTTCTGAAAAAGGCTTAGGCATTTGAGATGCTGTTAAGCTCATTCTGGAAATCATAATAGAGACTAGATAACAGTGTTTGTGAAAAGATTTCATGGTAAACCCATTAGACCAAAATCATGGGACAAGAAAAGTTGATGAACTCTAGCAAGACTTTAAAAATCCAAGAACATTATCTCAAAATTAAAATACGTAAATCTTTTATTTTAGAATTTTTTGCCAGAAGTTTTTCAAAGAATAGAAATGCTTGTCGGGGACCCAAATACTTTTCATTCAACTAAAGGATCAAAAAAAGAGGACTAGTTTAGATTAAACTGAAATAATGCTGTTTAAACTAAGAAATACTGTTGTGCCAATCACTTTCCCTTCTTTAAAACACTAAAAAAAAAAAAATCAATAAAACACAGACCACTCCAATTATTAAAGATAAAAATCTTTAGAACATCAATTTTCAATAAATGTGCAGGATTATGATTAATATTCCATATCAGGATTATGATTAATATTCCATATAAGCACTAACTTTTTTTCTCATACATATTTCTCCTTTATTCAAAGAATATATCACAGAATACAGAGATCTCTAATTCAGATTTTAGTACAACCAAAACACATGTATGATGTAACATGAAAATATGTCTTAATCATAGAATAAGAATCCACCAAGGAATATCTAAGTGAGACTTCAACTTTATAATATAATATTGTATTGGCCTATAGGAATTATATTTCCATATCTTTATTCTATTAAGCAACATAATAAAGACCTTATACACATATACACATGCACATACATACACTACACGAAATCTAAAAATTGCCTAAATCTTACTTTTACATTTTCTGAGTTTTAAAATGTAGACCATTTAAACAGAATGACTTAATGTTAATTTAATACAAGGGATGTAATCTTAAGTTTCTTTGAATTGTCATATAAACAGTTACATTTAAGAAGCAGGTTAAATTCTCAAATGCCTATCAATATCACTTAAAAAATTAAAAATGAAGCTCATTGATACATACAAATTATTTAAAACTCAGAAATTATTATTAATAATCCCTTTTAAAAATCTCCCAACATGTACACAATTTAATTATTAATTTAAATACCTGTTCATGTGAGCAGGACCATACCCACCAATGGCATATATCATTCCATCCAATACAGCTGCAGCAAAACAACTTCTTGTCGTAGTCATTGGTGCCACAGGTTGCCATTTTCTTATTTTGGGAATATATTTCTCTACAGATTGTAAATAAGATTGTCCATCATATCCACCTAAAGCATAAAGTTCTCCTGCAAGAACTACTACTCCAAGGGTACTTCGGCTCTCATTCATTCTCTCTAGTGAAGTCCAGGTATTTGTATCAGGATTCCAGCATTCTACTGAATTTTCATGTTTTCTGATAGTGACACCAGGACGCACATTAGTTTCAATACCACCTATAACATACACTTTTTGGTCTAAAACACATATTCCAAATTCATAGCGAGGAATGTTTAAGGGTGCCAAACCAATCCAAGAGTCACTTTGAGGAAAGTACATCTCCACACTAAAGAATAAGCAGAAAAAAATAAATTTTAAAAACCCAAATGGCCCATAAATAAAAATATGTTTAATCTTATCAGTAACCAGGGACATGCAAATTAAAGCCACAACAAACCACGAAACATCTTCCAGACTGGCAAAACTGTAAAGATGATAACATCTCTTGGCAAGAATGTGGAGGAAGGAATGCAGATTGTTAGTGAGAGTGTTAACAAGGACAAACAAATCTGGAAAACAATTTCACACTATCCAATAAAGTTCAAGATATGCATGTGCCTTTACTCATCAATTTCATCTCTATGTGTCTACTCTGTTGAACATTTACTATAGTGAGTTTTGTAGTAGGAAACATACAGAAAAGTTCTTTGGAGCACAATGCAATAATCCATCAAAAGGAGAATAGTTAAATAAGGTATAGTATATCTGTCCCATGACTGAACAATTTTACTCTTAAATAGGTACACAAGAAAAATGCATATATTTGTATATGTACAAGAATGTTCACTGCAGTATCATCTGTAATCACCAAATATTGGAAGCAGTCCAAATGTTCATCAACCATATTTACAGCAATGAAAATGAACTGAATACAGCCACATGTACTTGGGGTGAATCTTACATGTATTTTTTTTTAATATTTGTTTTTTAGTTGGATACAATATCTTTATTTTATTTATTTATTTTTATGTGGTGCTGAGGATCAAACCCAGGGCCTCGCACATGCTAGGTGAGCACTCTACTGAGGAGCCACAACCCCAACCCCTTACATGTCTTTTGAGGGAAAGATGATAAACTCAAAATAATATATTTTGCATAATTTCATTTATATCAAGTTCAAAAACATGTAAAACTAATCTCTGGATTAAAAATGTAGATGGTGATTATCACTGGGGTAGGACAGAGAAGGAGCTCCTGAGTGCTATTCTATTTTTTGAACTGGTTTGTACTGCTCACTTTTATGATAATTCACTGAGTGGTACAAGTGGAATTTACACTCTTTTCTATTTATGTGAAAGACTTTAGTATTTAAAATAAAAAAAATTTCATTGTAAAAGAAAAAATTATGCTATGCTAATACACCATGTCAGTGAAAGTAAATGAACTATTTCCTCATGCAATTGCACAAGAGAATTTCATTTACTGTTCAGTAAAAAAAAATCTCCAAGTATATATAGCACTTCCATTTATATAAGAATGTATAAAACCTGATAGTAATTGAGTTTCATTTGACAAGAGGAAAAATTATAATGAAAAGCAGAAGGTTAATACAGAATAATGTTTACTTCTTGGGGAGAGAGGGAGATGGCAAGGAGATATGTGGGGTCTTCAAACGTATTTTTAATATCTATTAAGCTTGTTGATATCTGTCTTAGACTGTTTTCTTGCTAGTAACACAATATTACAGACTAGATAAGTTATGAAAAAAAGACAATACTTTTGACCAAAAGCCATCTTTTGATGGCTTTCTCATTGGCAGTCTGACCCGGGTGTGTGTGTGTGTGTGTGTGTGTGTGTGTGTGTGTCTCTCTCTCTCCACACACTGGTCATTTCCCACTTCACCAATATTCAATCATGGTGACTCCACTCCAATAACTTTATCTAATTCTAATCACACATCCCCCACTCCCCATCCCCCTCCAAAGGTTCTATCTCTAAAAATCATAGTCAAATTAAGTTCCACATCATCATTTCACAATATCAACTCATGAGCCTTTGGGAGACACACTCAAACCATATTATAAACCATATTATTCTACCCTTGGCCCCCAAGGTTAATGTCCTTCTCACAAATGCAAAATGCAATCATTCCATCCCTTCCAGTCCCCAAGGTTTAGCTCATTCCAGCATTAATTCAAAAGTCCAAAGTCTAATCTCCTTCCAGCTGTGAGCCTCTGTTTAAAAAAAAAAAAAAAAAGCAGGATACACTTCTAAGTTATAATGGCAGGCTGGCACAGTGGCTCAGGAGGCTAAGACAGGAAGATCAAGAGTTCAAAGTCAGCTTCAGCAATTTAGTGAGGCCCTAAGAAACTCGGTGAGATCCAGTCTCTAAATAAAATACAAAATAGGGCTGGGGCTGGGGCTGAGTGGTAGAGTGCCCCTGAGTTCAACCTCCAGTAACTCCCCCAAATAAAGTTATAATGGCAGGACTGGAATAGGATAAACATTCCTACTTCTGAAAGGGATAAACAGACAAGTAGAAAGGTGTAATTGGGCCAATTATGCCAGCAGGGAAGACATTAAACCCCTAAAACTCCAAGTCCAGCCATCTTGTGCATACTGTAGCAGGGGCCCATGGGTTAGGGCAGCCCTGCCCCGACTGCTTTGCTGATTATAGGTCAGCCACAAGTCCCAAAACTCAATAATGCAATAGTATAAGAGTATATATTCTTTTTCCAGTATGATCAAAGTATTTTGATTAACTTCATAATTATCAAATGCCTATTTATAATCAGTTTTATTATTTAGCTAGATTTTAAACTGTGAATTTGTACCAGTGATATAACAGGGAACAATTTGAGTTTAACAAGATGAGTTTCATTGAGGAAATAGGGATAAACCTTGAGTGGAGAAATTCCAGAGAGCAGGAGATGAGGAAATGAAAACAGCGAATATAGGTAATTTTTTTAATTATTATTTTTTAAATAGAAGAGTAAAACGGACACGAGGAGTTACAAAGTGAAACACAGAAAGACTATGGATGCCAGAAAAATTAATCTGGGAGTTTAGATTACAAAACGTTTGTATGTTCACGGCAAAGATATGGTACACTGGGAGGTGATGATATAAGAGAAAGACAAGATAAGTAGAAGAGCAAAATATTTGCATAAAGAGAAGGAATGGCCCAGACCTAGTGGTACACACCTGTAATCCCAGTGGCTCAGGAGGCTGAGGCAGAAGGATTGCAAATTCAATCCTCAGCAACTTAGTGAGTCCCTAAGCAATTTATTGAGACCTGCTCAAAATTTAAAAAATAAGAAAAGGAGTAGGGATATGGCTTATTAGTTAAGCACCCCTGGGTTTAATCCCTGAGAAAAAGAAAAATAAAGAAAAAGAAAAGGGATGGAATCTAGTGAATATAAGAAGTAGAAACATACCGTATATATAAAATCAGAGATATGATAAATTATGGTATAATGGTGTATTAAGAATTGTAATGCAAAAATAAATAAATAAAAAATTAAAAAAAAAAGAAGTAGAAGGGTTAGTCTTTAATAGAAATAACAGTAGATTTAGTGATGGGAAGATGAGATAGTTTTCTGGTGGCTTCTTATCTTAATAGAAAAAGGAATAAGCTAAGAGTTGGAAATACCTGGGATGTTTTTAAAGAGAAAACAGGTGATGTGAGATAGTCCTAGGAAGTAAAAGAATAAATTGAGGAAATTAAAAGTTAATTGCTGGGGAATGCCAAGGTCCTTAAGTGAGATAAGTTTAAATGGGCATGTATATTTCTTTTTTTTTAATATTTGTTTTTTTTTTAGTTTTAGGTGGACACAATATCTTTATTTTATTTTTATGTGATGCTGAGAATCCAACCCAGTACCTCCTGCATGCTAGGTGAGCGCACTACCACTTGAGCCACATCCCCAGCCCAATATATTTCTTTTTAATATTTCTTTTAGTTATAGATGGGTTCGATTCTTAGCATCGCATATAAATAAAGGTCCATTAACAACTAAAAAAATATTTTTAAAAATCCTTAAGGGGAAAAAATAATAACTGAAGTTATGTTTTAAGTCCAGTTCTTGTTGTAACAACAGAATACCACCAGGCTAAGTAAATTACAAATAACAGAAGTTTATTTTATTTATTAATTTTTATGTGGTGGTGAGGATCAAACCCAGTGCCCCACAGGGGTTAGGCAAATGTTCCACCACTAAGCCACAACTCCAGCCCCAGGCATGTGTATTTCTCTTGCCACATTCCAATGCTCAGGTACAACCATGGCACAAGTGAATGTTGTGATTTTAACTAGATGAGTATGATGAAGGAACACAAGGGTTAGGGAGCCATGGTATATTCAAAAGTTATGATGACAATGTTGTTTCTGGACTCTAAGGTGGGAAAGCAGAAAAGATGAGAACATGTGGTGTATGACAAGCAATCAATTCTATCAGCTCATTATAGAGCCAATGGATCAAAAATCCTTAAGGAGAGGGGTGGGGTTGTAGCTCAATAGTAGAGTGCGCTTGCCTAGAGTGTGTGAGGCACTGGGTTTGATTCTTAGCACCGCATATAAATAAAGGTCCATTGACAACTAAAAAAAGATTTTAAAAAAATCCTTAAGGGGAAAAAATAATAACTGGAATATGTCTTAGTCCAGTTCCTGTTGTAACAACAGAATGCCACCAGGCTAAGTAAATTACAAATCACAGAAGTTTATTTGGCTCACAGTTCTGGGGGCTGGAAGTCCAAGATTGAGGGGCTGCACCTGCTGAAGGCCTTCTTCCTGCACCATGGAAGGCATCACATGGTGAGAGAACACACAAGGAGAGAGAAGGAGGAAGACAGGGAGAGGGAGGAAAAGAGAAAGGAAAAGGAGCCAAATCTCCCCCTCTTACATCTAACCCACTCCTGAGATAATGGCCTTAGTCCATTCATGAGGGTGATGTCCTTAAGACCTAGTCACCACTTAAAGGTCTCACCTCTCAACACTACTGCATTAAGTTTTTAACATATAAATTTTGGGGAGATACATTAAAACCATAACATTTCACTCTTGACCCCCAAAATTCATGTCTGTCTCATGATGCAAAATACTTTCATTCCATCCCAATAGTTCCAAGAGTCTTAACTCATTCCAGGATCAATTAAAAAGCCCAAAATACAGAGTTTCCTTTAAATCAGATATGGATAGGTCTCAAAGCATGAATCCTTCCACCTGTCAGCCTATCAAATCAAAACAAATTATATAGTTCCAAAATACAATGGTGGGTCAGGTGTTCTCATTCCAAAAAGGACCAATACATAAGAAAGAAGTAATTGGTACCAAGCAGCCCCAAACCCCAACAAGGAAAACAACAGTAAGTCTTAATCTCCCTTGACTCCATGTTCTGTAGCCTGGGCACACAGTGGCAGAAACTGGGACCTCAAGGCCTTAGAAAGCCCCAACCCAATGGCTTTGCTGCATTCAGTTCATCTAGTTCTTCTCATGGTTGGAGGCTAGAGTTTTGTGCCTGTACCTTGCTCAGGCTGGTATTGCATGTTGGTAGTTCTACAGTCCTGGGGTCTTGGCCCCACTCTCATGCTTTCACTAGGGATTACCCTAGTACTGACACTCTGTGGTGGTCTAGTTAACATAGCTTCACTAGGTATAACCTTGCTGAGGGTTCTGCAGTAGCTTCACCTCCAACACTATATTTCCACTCAAGAGTTGCCCTAATAAAAACTCTATACAGTGGACTCACCCCTGCCACAAATCTCTGTGACCCCAAACAGTCCACAACATTCTTAGAAATGAAGGTGAGAAGGCCATGTCCCCATAACTTTTGCATTCTGAATTTGTGCAGAATTCACACCCCTGAACATTGCCAAGGTTTACCACTTGCACTAGTCACAGGGTTGAGATACAGCTGGCTCTGCTTGAGTCAAAACTGGGGCAGCCAGTGAGTGCAGTGCTGGAATGATATGAGCAGATATCTGAGCTGGCTATAGGCAATGGGCTGTCCTCACATGTCCCCCAAAACACTCTGTCTCCTAGAGCTCTGGGCCTGTGATAGAAGTGGCAGCCTCAGTTCTCTAAAATGACTTCCAGGTCTTTCTCCCCTCGTCTTGATGAATAATATCTGGCTCCCTTCTATACATGCTAATCTCTTTAGCTAGCAAGGCCATCACTAAGCCATAGCTTTCATTTGTTCTTTTTTTTTTTTTTTAATTTTTTTTAGTTGTAGGTGGATACAATGCCTTTATTTTATTTTTATGTGGTGCTGAGGATTGAACCCAGTGCCTTCCACATGTGAGGCGAGCGCTCTACCACTGAGCTACAGCCCCAGCCCTCATTTGTTCTTTTAAACATACATTTTCAATTCTTGGTATATAATCAAACTAATCATTTGTTCAAGAAATCTCATTCTCCTTTTATTCCTGCCTTTCCTGAACATCCTTTCCCTTTATCCATCCAAACTCTGTCCTGTCAATTTCCTCTCTTAAAACACTTTTTAAATTACTGCTCTCTTGGGCTGGGGATATAGATCAGTTGGTAAAGTGCTTGCCTCACATGCACAAGGCCATGCGTTCAATCCCCAGCATCACCAAAAGAAAAAAAAAATGTTGCTCTTATTTGTCTTTACTAGTTCTACCCTAATCCAGGACCTCATAATCTGTTGACTGTGTTTCTATAATACTCTCTGATCTAATCACTGTGGTGTTAATCCTGGTTGCTCAATCTTTCTCTGCAATGTAGCCAAAATGACTTAACAGATTAATCTTGATTGTTTCAGTACCCTATTTAAAATAGTTGTGCAATACACATAAAAATCTTCTTTTTATCATGGCATATAATAACTTCTTTGATTCAGTTCACATTCACCACTGTTTGACTTATTAATCAGAACTGTATACTTCCCAATACCAAACAGCTTTTACTTTCCTGCATAACTCATATTATACCATGCCACTGTCCTTGGTCATGAACTTCTGTACAAAATTCTTCCTAAATTCATTCATTCATCCATCCATCCATCTATTTATTTATTTATTATTGGTGCTAGGGTTTGAACCCAGGGGCATTTAATCACTAACCAAAAAAAAAAAAGAAGAAATTAAAATCAAGCATAGAAATATATGTAGGGAACAAGTATGTATTAAAAAGTGCCATGACATTTTTTGAAAGGACCACATAGAACTTTTAGAACCAGAAAATATAGTAACCAAAATAAAGAGCACAATGAATGAATGGGTTAAAGGCAGATTAGACACAACTGAAGAGAGAATGAATGAAATAGAAGAGTGGAAGAAATTACATTCAATATAGCATGAAAAGACAAAATAACAGAAAATATAGAATTAGAGACAAAGAGGAAACAGAGAGAGCTCTAATAAATGTTAACTGGAGTCCTAGAAGGTAAAATAGAGAAAGGACAGAGGCAATATTTAAAGAAAATGACTACTAATTTTCCAAAATGATGAAAGACACCAGTCCACAAATAGAAAAAGCCCAATAAAGCACAAGCAAACTAAATAAAGAGTTAATGGAAGGTCAGTCAATGGGTATTAATTATGGTTTGATAAGAGAAATGTGTTCTGGTATTCTATTGCACTACAGATAATAATGTACTGTAGGGTTCACATAAAGCTAGAAGAAAGGATTTTGAATGTTTTACCATAAATAAATAATAAATGTTTGAGGAACTATATATGTTTACCTTAATTTGAACCTACACAATGTATACATGTATTGAAACCTCAGTGGTACCCCTTAAATATGTGCAATTTTATATGTCCATTAAAAATAAATAAAACAGGACTTAATGGAAATAAGTGCTAGTACATTTAATATAAAAAACATAACATCTGCAACATACTTTCAAAAGGCCAGGAAAAAGTTTTTATGTGGTGATAGAGAAAGCAAAGAGGCAAAATGATAATAATTGGCAAATCTAGATGAAAGTCACATAAAAGGTCTCTGTGCTGTTCTTTCCATTTCTGTAAGTTTAAAATCTTTTGAAAAAAGTTTTGGAATAAAGTTAACTCTAAACAGAAAAAAAAAAAAAAAAAAAAAAAAAAAACCACTAACCACATCCCCAAGCCCTTTTTATTTTGAGACAGGATCTCTCAGGATCTCTTAATTTGCTTGGGGCCTCACTAAATTGCTGAGGCTGGCTTTTAACTTGTAATCCTCCTGCCTTAGCCTCCCAAACAGCTGGAATTACAGGCATGTGCCACTGCGTCCGGGCTCTAAATTCTTCCAATGGGAGAAACACCTATCCCTAATACTTCCACAGAATTATCTTTATCACTGAATTAACACTATGTATTATAATTATCTATGCAAATATTTTCTCTTTTACTAAATGAGCTTGTTGAAGGCCCATATCTAACAGTGTTATTAGAATTTTTTGAAGAATTAAATTGAATGATCATTCAGGTTGGTTCCAATTTTTCCAGTTATAAATAATGCTGCAATGAACAGCTTTGTGCAAATGATATTTTTAATTTTTAAATTTTATTATGATAGATTGGAAGACAAAAGAATTACTGGGTCTAAAGACAAGAACAGTTTTTATGACTCTTCAATAACTTATGTTCATTATTTTTAATATTTGAAAAACCAAGAGGCAACCAGACTTTTAAAACATACATTCACATTTGGAATTTTTTTTGCCGTTCTATTAGTCATTTACTTCATGCCAATAATCCATGTCTTTTAAGAACAAGAACTAAACAATTAATATGTGAAGCTACCACAACTAATGCTTTACCTATAGACTAATCTCAACAATACTAGTTTTAAGACTACAGTTAAAATGTATAGTAAGAATTTTTTTAAAAGATTCAGAATATGAGTTGTAACATCAATAGTTTCCTACCACTGGAGAAAGAAAAGCAATCTACCAAAGTTTTGGAAATTGCCAGAAAGAAATGCACAGCATTATCGAAAAATATCAAACAAAAGTTTGTCTTAAGCAAATTCTATCCAAGGAAAAAGCAAAGATAACATCACACTACATTTTCTAAAAATCTAAAAGTTACTTGCATCATCAAGGACTGGCAAATTCTAAAGGTAGAGTTGGACAGATGTGACAAACACCATACTGCCCATGAAGTCTATATATCTACCTTTGCTAGATCTTTGATAATCTGGCAACTCCTGCTCTAAGTTAATAGAAAAGAAAGCATTGTGGCTGAGGTTGTGCCTCAGTGGTAGAGCGCTTGCTTAGCATGTGCGAGGCACTGGGTTTGATTCTCAGCACTGCACATAAATAAGTAAAACAAAGGTCCATTGACAAATAAAACATATTTTTTTAAAAAAGCATTTATTACTATTGTTTTGAAAAAATGCTTATAATGAAGAACATAAATTGCACATAAAGTCCTCTCCCCCCCCCCCCTTTTTTTTTTTGGTACTGGGGAATTGATTGAGACCATGGATGTTCTGACACTGAGCTACACCCCCAGTCTTTTTCATTTTTATTTTATTTTTTGTCTTGAGACAGGATCTTGCTAAATTGCTGAGGCTGGCCTAGAACTTGTGATTCTTCTGCCTCAGTCTCCTAAGTAGCTAGGATTACAGGTGTGTGCCATCATGCCCAGCTTTTTTCACTTCTTTGCTTGTTCTTCTAAGGATCTGTTTCATTCATTCAAACCCACATTCCTGCCCGCCAGATTGCCCTCCTCACAGGTTCTTAGCTCTCTTCTTTAATATATTCGGATGTAACTGACAATAATAAATCTCCGCTCCATGCTGGTCTGACCCAAATAAAGATGTAAACGGTTCCAGAAAAAAAATAAATAAATAAAGACATAAAATGGAAGAAAAGTTAGGAGTAACCAGGATGAATAAAGGTGCACACTTGGGAAGGAAGGTTAATAATTGAGAGTATTATAGAGAATGGATGACAATGTGATTAAAATGACCACATAAATATTCTGGGAGGAAAAAAAAAAGCAGCAAATAAAAGTAAAAAGTAAAACCAAATTATTTTTAAAATACAGAAAATTAGCACATTTAAAAAGCACAAAAGTCTATAAATATCACTCCTTTAACAAAGCCTTCTATTTACCTATCCAAACAGGCAAAGAGTCCAGATTTTCCTCCTACGGCACAAAGTACTTTGGGAGCACAGCGAGGTCGCGTCATCAAGACTGTCTGATGAGAGAGTCTATGTTCAGGCATAAAGTGGTACTTTAAAGCTTCATTCAAAAGATGTTTACAAGTGCGATCATCACGAATAAGATGATTTGCTTCATATAGCCTAGTGAGAAACTTAACACTCAGCAATGGTAATCGTACACTATTTAGTAGCTGTGCTAAGTATTTCTGGCGTTCTTGTACATCATACTTGATCCAAGACTCTAATGCATAAAAAACAGTCTCTTCAGTAGCTACATTCAAACAGTCATTGGAAACAATTTCATCCAAATCTGCATGTGTAAGCTCAAAAAACTCTTCTGTCTGGCATACAGCTTCAAAATTCTGGCATATGTATTTAGTGGCTGCCAAATAAAGGTCATGGCAACCATATGTCTCTGCAAAACGAGATATTCCAATACAGTTCCCAGGATCAAGCTGGCTTTCAAGAAATGCACAACATTCTTTCAGGACAAGTTTTATCTGAAGTAAGTTTGCTGCTGGAAGGAGAGATTCAACTGTATCCTGAGAAATAAAAACAGTCCCTGTATAGGCATATTCCACAATGGCCTGGAGAGCAGTTTCATCAATGGATTGAAATTCAACCTCACTGTTTTCTTTTTCAGAAAGGTTTCCAGTGAACATAGCTTTGAAATATGGGCTGATGCTGGCAAGTACCACTTTGTGAGCATAAATTTTAACATCACCTACACGAAGAATGATGTCACAGAGTTCGTGATGCTGACGAAGAAGATTCAAGCCCTGAAGAAGTTGTTCAGAATGTAAGTGGGCTAAGTTAGCAAGCATGTAGGTCGGGGATGTGTGGTCCATCTACAGAAAAACAAAAAGCATGGACAGTTACTTCAAAATAATCATGCCAGTATGATTCTTTGTTTTAAACAGTACAATGAAAATCAGATTTATTGTTCATTTTCCTGTATTCTTTTGGTTTTAAAATACTTAATATTAGAACATAAGCTTTCAGAGTTAGAAGGAATTTAATAGTCATGCAATTCAACTCCTTTCTTGCAAGATGGAGACCCAAAATGTTAAATACTATGTTCCAAGCCATGAAAATCTCTGGACAATGGACTTTTAGATCAAAACTCTGCCAAAAACACTGTTCCTTCAACAAATTCAAGTCTGAGCCAGGGAAACAAAACGCTAATATGTCGGGGGAACCTTGTTTACAGCAAAATTAAGTTTTGAAACAACACTATCTATTTGGCTATTTTCTTAATATTAGTAACTGTAATTGGAAAAAAAATTCATGTTAATTCAAAAACTTTACAACAAAATTCAAAACTTATAAGAATATAGACGACACAATGAAGACAGTAAGAAATCTTAAGCAGAACATTCAAAAAATATGGGATAGTATAAAAAGACCAAATTTAAGAGTTACTGGGATAGAGGAAGGCATAGAGTTCCAAACCAAAGGAATTGAACAATCTATTCAATGAAATAATATCAGAAAATTCTCCAAACATGAAGAATGAATTGGAAAACCAAATACAAGAGGCTTACAGGATGCCAAAAGTACAAAATCACAACAGATCTATACCAAGGCACATTATAATAAAAATGTCTAGCATACAGAATAAGGAGAGGATTTTAAAAGCCATGAGAGAAAGGAATCAGACTACATATAGGGGGAAACCAATTAAGTTATGAGCAGATTTTTCAACCCAGACCTTGAAAGCTAGAAGATCCTGGAACAACATATACCAAACTGTGAAAGAAAATGGACGTCATCCAAGAATCTTGTATCCAAAAAAATTAAGCTTTAGATTTGATGATGAAATAAAAACCTTCCGTGATAAACAAAAGTTAAAATAATTTACAACTAGAAAGCCCACACTACAGAACATCCTTGGCAAAATATTCCATGAAGAAAAAATGAAAAACAACGAAGAAAATCATCAGAGGGAGGTATTACACTAAAGAAATAACTAATCAAAGGAGAAACCAAGTAAAGTTAAATACCAAAATAAACCAAAAATGGCTGGGAATAGAAGTCATGTCTCAATAATAACACAAGATTGTTAATGGCATAAACTCACCAACCAAAAGATATAGACTAGCAGATTGGATCAAAAACAAAAAAAGACCCAACAATATGCTGCCCTCAAAGAGACTCATCTCATAGGAAAAGACAGCCACAGACTAAAGGTGAAAGGTTGGGGAAAAATCATACCACTCACATGGACTGTGGAAGCAAGCAGGGGTTTCCATCATCATATTAAATGAAGGAGATTTCAAGCTAAAATCAATCAAAGGGATAAAGAAGGTCCTTTCATATTGCTCAAGGGAACCATACACCAACAAGATTTAACAATTATAAATATATATGCCCCAAACAATGGAGCATCTACATTCATCAAACAAACTCTTCTCAAGTTCAAGAGTCAAACAGACCACAACACAATAATTCTGGGTAATGTTAACATACCTTTTTCACCACTGCATAGATCTTCTAAACAAAAGCTGAATAAAGAAACTCAATATAGAACTCAATAATACAATCAATAACTTAGACTTAACTGACATATATAGAATATTTTATCCTTCAACGAGTGAATACGCTTTCTTCTCAGCACCACATGGATCCTTCTCTAAAACAGATCATACATTATGCCACAAAGCAACTCTTAGCAAATACAAAAAAGTAGAGATACTACCCTGAATTCTATCAGATTACTGAAAATGAAATTAGAAATCAATGATAAAATAAAAAATAAAAGCTACTCCAACACCTGGAGACTAAATAATATGCTACCGAATGAACAATGGATTGCAAAAGACACCAAGGAGGAGATTTGAAAATTCTTAGGGGTAAATTAGAACACTGATACAACTTATTGAAATCTCTGAGACACTACAAAGGCAGCTCTAAGAGGAAAGTTCATTGCATGGAGTGCATTCTTCAAAGAAGAAAAAGTCAACAAATAGATGACTTAACATTACATCTCAAAGCCCTAGAAAAAGAAGAACAAACCAACACCAAAAGCAGTAGAAGACAGGAAATAATTAAAATCAGAGCTCAAATCAATGAAATTGAAACAAAAGAAATAACCGAAAAAACTGACCGAACAAAAAGTTGGTTCTTTGAAAAAAATAAATAAAATTGACAAACCCTTAGCCATGCTAACGAGGAGACGGAGAGAGAAAACTCAAATTACTTACACGATGAAAAAGGAAATATCATGACAGACACTACAGAAATAAAGAAGATAATTAAAAATTATTTTGAAAACTTGTACTCCAATAAAATAGAAAATATCAAAGGCATCGACAAATTTCTAGAGTCCTATAATTTGCCCAAATTGAGTCAGGATATACACAATCTAAACAGATCAATTTCAAGCAATGATGTAGAAGACACCATCAGAAGCCTACCAACCAAGAAAATCCCAGAACCGGATGGATACACAGCTGAGTTCTACAACACCTTTAAAGAAGAACTAATACCAACACTCTTCAATTTATTTCAGGAAATAGAAAAAGAGGGCCATACCAGTGGCCTCATAGAATCAGCACTTCCAAACTCATTCTATGAGGCCAATATCACCCTGATTCCAAAACCAGTCAAAGACATATCAGAGCAAGCAAACTTCAGACCAATATCTCTAATAAATATAGATGCAAAATTATCAATAAAATTCTCGCAAATCGAATACAAAAACATAACAAAACGATAGTGCAACACGATCAAGTGGGATTCATCCCAAGCATGCAAGGTTGGTTCAACATACAGAAATCAATAAATGTAATGCGTCACATCAATGGGCTTAAAGAATCATATGATTACCTCAATAGATGCAGAAAAAGCATTCGACAAAACACAGCACCTCTTTCATGTTCAAAACATTAGAAAAACTAGGGATAACAGGAACATATCTCAACATTGTAAAAGCTATCTATGCTAATCCCCAGGCCAACATCATTCTAAATGGAGAAAAATTGAAAGCATTCCTTCTAAAAACTAGAACAAGACAGGGATGCCCTCTTTCACCACTTTTATTTAACATAGTTCTTGAAACACTGGCCAGAGCAATTAGATGAAAGAAATTAAAGGAATACAGATAGGAAAAGAAGAACTCAAATTAGCACTATTTGCTGACGATATAATTCTATACCTAGAAGACCCAAAAATTTCACCAGAAAACTTCTAGAACTAGTAAATGAATTCAGCAAAGTAGCAGGATATAAAATCAACACCCATAAATCAAACACGTGTATATACATCAGTGGCAAATCCTCTGAAAGGGAAACAAGAAAAACTACCCCATTTATAATAGCCTTAAAAAATAAAATAAAATACTTGAAAATCAACTTAACAAAAGAGATTATAATGAAATGTCATGAAAACTACATAAGGAAAACATAACCTCTATAATAAAACTACAGAACGTTAAAGAAAGAAAGCAAAGAAAACCTTAGAAGATACAAAGATCTCCCTTGATATTGGATAGGCAGAATTAATATTGTCAAAATGACCATACTACCAAAAACACTATACAGATTTAATGCAATTCCAATCAAAATCCCAGTGGTACTCCTCATAGAAATAGAAAAAGCAGTCATTAAATTCATCTGGAAAAATAAAAGACCCAAAATACCTAAAGCAATCCTCAGCAAGAAGAGTGAAGCAGGTAGCATATACCAGACCTTAAACTATACTACAGAGCAATAATAACAAAAACAGCATGGTGTTGGCACCAAAAGAGACTTGTAGACTAATGGTACAGAATAGAAGACAAAGAAACAATTCCACAGATTACAGTTATCTTATATTAGACAAAAGCACAAAAAACTTACATTGGAGAAAAGACAGCATTTTCAACAAACGGTGCTGGGAAAATTGAAAATTCATATGCAACAAAATGAAATTAAGCCCCTATCTCTCACCATGCACAAAACTCAAAGTGAATCAAAGACCTAGGAATTAAACCAGAGACACTGTACCTAACAGAGAAAAAGTAGGCCCAAATCTCCATCATGTTAGATTAGGCCCCGATTTCCTTAGTAAGACTCCTATAGCACAAGAATTAAAATCAAGAATCAATAAATGGGATAGATTCAAACTAAAAAGCTTCTCCTCAGCAAAAGAAACAGTGAGGTGAATAGAGAGCCTACATTTGGGGAGCAAATTTTTACCACATGCATATCAGATACAACACTAATCTCTAGGATATATAAAAAACTCAAAAATCTTAACACCAAAAAAAAAAAAAAAACCAAATAATCAATAAACGGGCCAAGGAACTGAACAGATACTTCTCAGAAGGTGATATACAATCAATCAAAAAATATATGAAAAAATGTTCAACATCTCTAGCAATTAGAGAAATGCAAATCAAAACTACTCTAAGATTTCATCTCACTCCAGTCAGAATGGCAGCTATTAAGAATACAAACAACAATAAGTGTTTGCAAGAATGTGGGGAAAAAGGCACACTCATACACTGTTGATCGGACTGCAAATTGGTGCAGCCAATATGAAAAGCAGTATGGATATTCCTTGGAAAACTGGGAATGGAACCACCATTTGACCCAGCTATCCCACTCCTCGGTCTATAACCAAAGGACTTAAAAACAGCATGCTACAGGACACAGACACATCAATAGCAGCACTATTCACAAGAACTAAACTGTGGAAGCAACCTAGATGCCCTTCAGTAGATGAATGGATAAAGAAAATGTGGTATATACATACAATGGAATATTATTCAGCATTAAAAGAGAATAAGATCATAGCATTTGCAGGTAAATGAATGGAGCTGGAGAATATAATGCTAAGTGAAGTTAGCCAATCCCAAAAAACCAAA